ACGAACGGATTAGATGGATGGGTTGGAAGGGAGGGAGATTAATATGGATGGATGGATGGACGGATGGATTCGATGAATGGGATTCTCCCTCCTTGTTTTTTTATGGATACCCCCTTGTACTACGAAAGTTATGAGGCTTTGTTCGGTCTGCTCCTAATGACAAGAGCTCGACGACAACGCGGAACATGATGGGTGGTTTCATGGTATGGTACGGCACGGCACACACACGGAATAGGCGGCATGATTTGACGTTTCTGGGTTTTTGGTTTTCTTGATGAAAAACAAGGGGATGACGAGTGGGCCGGCTCTTACTGTAGTATAGTAGCATCCTTGACACCGTTTGCGTGTTGACATGATATGTTGTCAGGAAAGTTCTTGTATTTAACTCTCTAGGTACCAAGATACCTTAGCCTTTGGGCATTGATATTGGTCTCTGTTGATACCGACTTATGATAACTTGTGACAGTGAACTCAGAGTACTTGGCCATGATTATCGTTCCCTCCCTTGACAATGTAGCATGGGTCAACTACACAGGGCCGCAGACGTCTCGTGCAAGTAGTGCGGCATCGCACGGGGCAGCAAAAGTTCAAAAAGGCAGTCCGGTCTGGGCCGTTGGAGTAATGTCCCAGTGCGAAGTTGCCTGATATGTTGAGGATGGTCGTTTCTGCCTTTTTTAACGTCGCCTTTGGACATTTGCTGACAAGACGCTCGGTAATCTCACATCACACTCCCTCCTTCACCCGATCCTCCATCCTCCTTGGCCCTCTCCCCTCTTTCTGCCTCCCCCGCTAGAATCATCCCATCACCTTGACGCTATTCTCCTTTCTCTCCTCCCTAACTCTCTACCATTTCCCTATCTTCCTCGCAAAAACCATACGTCCCCCTCGAGGCACGTATAACTGCTGCATCCATCATTCGTTAGGCCTTGAAACGGCCTCATGACACACTCGCCCGATTCTACGCCTGGTGAGTATGCATGGACGAAGGCCACAGACACGGAGAACCATCCTCGAGATTCGAGATTGGTATTTGTACCTCTTGTTTAAATCACTTCCTTGGTGAAGTGTCAGACAGGTTTTGGGACACTGCTGCCCAAACCAACAGCCGAGGTGCATGCAGGGTGAGGCTGCCTAAATGGCTGGGCACGACTTGAAACCCAACCCAGCTCCATGCTCCATTTGAACAACAGAGTACCACTAACGGCGCTCATAATGGCCTTTATGCTGCCATACGAGAGCATTAGCAACCCGTGTTCAGTATGCGCATCTGTTGACCTCGATGATGCCTTTGACCCCCGCCAATTTGACGGTCTTCCTCCGCTTCGGGCTTCTGGCGCAACCCCATGGACGAAATACCTCCGGAAAATCCTCACATTTACTGCCGATGCCGTTCAAGCGTCGCCGGGAACATGCGGGCTGTGTCGGTTCCTCCGTATTGTATCGGCAACGGCCGAGAAATTCAAAGTCCCTTCGATAGGTTCATCCGGTCTCGAATTCCCCCCACCACCAAATACCTCGATGGACGATGGTGATGGATTCACTCTTGCTGCCACCTCAAGCCACTTTATCTACCCTGTGTCGGGTTCAAACAATGACCCCGACGGCCCGTATCCCCCCGAAGTCGCGGCTGTTTGGCTCATCGTTATCAAGGGCTCAAACACGCTTGAACGTCTGATCCATGAATACCAACAACCCCAAACCCGCTGTTCAGCCTCCAGACTCCCCTTGAATCTCATCCGCGACATTTCGTCCTTCGTCCGTAACACAGGCACTTGGATCGCCGCGGCCGACACCTCCGACCTCACCCATCCACCTCCCTCCATCCGCGGACGCCTGATCACCCCCGGTCGTCTCGATTACAACCTCATGAAATCGTGGCTTAATTCCTGCACTGCTCACCAATTCTGCCATCCACCAGTCTCCATTTACATCCCTCACATGAAGCTCATCGACTGCCAAACCCGCACCATCGTCCCTGCTACCCCGTCGATGCCCTACCTCGCCCTGAGCTACGTCTGGGGCACCGGTGCCCCCGAAAAGTACAACTACCCTCACCTCCCGACTCCCTTGCTGCAAACCGTCCAGGACGCGATCCGGGTCACCCTCCAGCTCGGCTTCCGCTACATCTGGATCGACCGCTACTGCATCTGGCAAGACGACCTAGCCCACAAAATGAGCCAAATCCTCGCCATGCGTGACATCTACGGCCACGCGGTGGCCACGATCGCCGCATCAAGCGGACCAGATCCAACCTACGGCCTACCCGGCGTCAGCGACAGGCGAAGCAGAGCACCGTACCAGCAAATTATTGGAAACGCCGGACATCGCGTTCTTGTATCCGGTGCTGTCCAGCGACGACAGGAGGAGGCAGTGAGCCAGTCGGTTTGGGAGACGAGAGCGTGGACGTTTCAGGAGGCGGCGCTGTCACCTCGGATTTTCTACTTTACCGATGCTGAGGTCTCGTTCTCGTGCGCCGAGGCGCAGGGATTTGAGCATCTGAGTCACTTGCTTGATGTCGTGTCCCCGGACGGGACACGGACAATATCAAAGTATGGGGTGCGGGAGCCGGAAGGCGTGGTCACGCTGGTGAGGAGGTACTCGGCGAGGAAAATGACGTACAGCAGCGATGCGCTGAATGCGTGTGTGGGGGCATTGTCGAGGTGGGTGGAGCTGAACGACAAGTGTTTTCATTATTGGGGGTGTCCGATTGCGTTTCGTGATGACGACAAGGAGACAATGCTGGGGGAGTCGTTGTGGATTGGACTGTGTTGGAGGTTGGATAGCGGGGCTGTCAAGGCTGGGGCGAGAAGGGACGGGTTTCCGAGTTGGTCGTGGTTGGCCGTTGAGGGGAGAATCCAATGTAATGGGAAGTGGGACCCGCAGGCTCTGAGAGAGAGGAGCGGCGGTGGGTTTGAGTTTGCGGTCGAAGAGGGAGGGAAGATGGTGGAATGGGGTGGGTTTGCGAAAAGGGGCGGGTTGTTGAAGTCGCCGCTTGATTGGGGGACGAAGTTGAGAGTGCAAGGGTGGGTGTTCGACGTTGGCCCATTCGTGGGGGTTGCGTATACGAGGCCGCGGCAGACGATATACTATGCCAAGTGGACGGACGAGGCGACCAAGAAGGCGAGAGTGCTGAAGTTCCTACCGGACTTTGGGATGGCGGCACCCGCGAGGTTTCTATTCGAAAAGTTTGAGGCAGTGGCGACGTACGCCTACAATTACCAGGAGGTGGACTTTGCGATTGTGTTTGAAAGGGCCGGTGATGCGGTCAAGCGGATTGGTCTCCTGCAGCTTGCTGAACGAGAAGTGGCTGAGGGTGACATACCCACGGTGGAGAGAGATGGCCCTGTTGATGCGCGGACGCTGGGGGCAAGATGGGACAGTGTTTGTTTGAGCTGATGGACGACACACACGACTGTTTGAGGCATCTCCTAATTATTTGAAGTCTGGTTTGGAGCGCTGAGGTCTGTCGGTTTTCGAAATTCAAACAACGTGCGTGGGCACCTCAACTTTTGCTAAACAATACCAGCGCTCGAACTCTATGGAGGTTTCCAAATGTTACATTTGGCAATGGGCCGTCAAGCAATCCCAGCGGCAGTCCTCGAAACCCCAGCCAATGCACTGCTCTTCGCAGACTCAAACTCCCTTCACCAGACTTATACTAGAGGGTCACTGTCGGTTACAGCACCGTCCCGAAACGCTGACGAATAGAAGGATTTACTACCTAATGTTAAAAATGACGCCGTATGGTCCTGAGCCTAGCCGCTTAGCAAACTCCATAAGATGAAAAGACACAAAGTAAAAAAAAACAAAAAAAAAAACAATGATGGGTCCCAACCCGGTTTTGTTTACCACCCCTGGTGATACAGTGGTGCGGAATCCTCGCTACGCGCCTTACAAAAAAGAATCAATACTGATACCCCGAGTCCATCGGGACGAGTGTTCCCCCTTCGCGGGATCTAACAAAACCCAGGGGGGAACATTTGGTGTTACACGAGAATGATGATACAGACCGCCACTCTCTCCGTCTCTCCGAACGGAAGCCTCCCTACTTGGGACGAGGCCCGTCAAGTGTAAAGGCGGAACGGTCAAGGCTTAAAATGACCGTTCAGAGCTTCCACCATGTCAGCACCTCCCACACTTCATCAGCCGAAGGCAGGCAGCCAAACTCACCCGAGGACGTCTCTCATCGGAAAAGCCAAGGGTACTTCACCCGCAGATCCTCATCCCTTCGTGCCTGGTTGAGCGCCGAGATGATGGTGCTCCGCGTTTGCGGCGCAGGCTTCGGTTCGGGAAAATCCCATTGCGCCTCGTCGTTGTCGTCGACCTCCATCATCATCATGTCATCGTCAGCCATTGGTGGAGGTGATGAAGAGGCGCTGTCGGCCGTGGCATCGCTGCCGGGGCTGGGTGGCATGTGCTGCATTTGCATTTGCAAAGAGTCACGTGCTGCCGCGAACGCGTCGAATTGGCGCGTCTTCTTCGCGTGGACCTTGTGCTGCTGCTCGCTAATGAAATCGTCCTCCTCTGACGAGTCGCGGCATCGCTTGCGGGGGTTGTCGATTTCCATTTTATAATAGGGGAAATAAATAAACGAGCTGTATAGCCGAGGGATGGGATGAAAAAAAAGAGCTTCCGTCAAGGTGTGGGTGGGCAGAGTGTGTGAGTGAGATCCGGGGAAGGGAGGGACGGGAACGAAACTGGACCTTGGGGCCAAAAGGGTTCAAAGAGGCGCCTGGCTCGGCAAAGGACGGCCCGGGCGCTCGCCCCGGCAACGCGCTGCGAGGAATTCCTTTCAGGGGCTGAGGGGACCCACTTGGATTCCGGAACCAGCGCAGTCTTTTTTTTTCTTTTTGCATCGGAATTGGCAACGACAGAAACCGGATTTCTTGCATCGCAGGAAAGGTTTGGATGTGCGCACTTTGGGGTTGCCTCATGCTTTTCTCGATGCAACAGCCGCTCGGAGGATGAAATGCACTGTTAGTGGCCATTGGAGTATATCAGCCCTTGTAGCTCAGTGGTAGAGCGCAGCACTTGTATGGACACTTCCTCATATGCTGAGGTCTCAGGTTCAATCCCTGGCGGGGGCATATGATTATCTTTTTGCCCATCACCCCTCACTCCCAAATGGCTCAGCCATATCTCGGACAGCATGTGGATGACGGTGCTAACTTTTTCGTTTTGTCGATACACTTCGTCGCTTTCTCCAGCAGCCCACGGGTTCGAGCTTCCTAGACAGATCCCGATGCCGGTGATATTCAGATATTGACATAGAAGGCACGCGAGGACTTGCACTATGCACTCCATGCCAGGTGGGGCAGTAGGGAGCATGATGAAGGTATTGTTTGCCTCAGGGCCGCAACGATATAGGTAAATTGTAGGACATATACGCACTGGAGAAACCCTTTGATTATGAGGAAACCCGAACCTGAACAGGAGAACCGCGGGCCAACCCCCTTTTCGTTCGATTCAGGATGCATTCCCTTTCAAAAAGATACCGAATGAACTCATCCACCGCCCGAACTAGCTTTGATGGTCCCGTACCCTAAGTCCTCCACGCTTTGGGTCACCAAGATGTGGGTGAGGGGACATGCCGGTTAAGAGTCTCGCCTCAGTCGTGCATGATCTCCGCTGATTGGTAGAATACAAGCAGCGTTGATTCTATATCGCATGAACCAATAGCGGTAGGCGTTGTATTCAATTTGGGTCAAGTGACCCGACTGCCCGCATTTGCACACGACGTCTTGAAGTTTCTGGGGCGAGCAAGATCTTGCTCCTTGTCTCGTCAACGCCCCTTCCCTCTGCGACTCGACGACATCGGCCTGACAATCATCATGGCAACTCTCCATGTCGACATGGAGCCAAACATGGCGTGTCAGCTGCGCCGTTCGATGGTCGACTTTCCAGGGAAGGAGGGCCGGAAGTTCTTGCCCATCAAGAAGCTCGAAGAAATCGTGACACGTGAGACAACCAAACGCGAACTTCAGTCCACAGGAGTCCCGAATGGACGAATCAACGCGATTCTCGACGATATATTTGCGCCACCCACTCGCCGCAAGATCTTTGCTATCATCGTGCTCATCGAAAGGGCCTCCGATATTCAAGAGTTCATCAGGAGCGGACTCGACGACTCAAACCTTCCTTTTTCAAAGACGTCATTTGACAGTCAACATGCATCTCAGCTGCAATTCTTTCGAGCTTGGAAATACGTCGAGACAGAGTTCTTTTATGAGCACCAATGGGTTTTGCTTGCCCCGTTTTTCGTCTTTCCCACGGCTACCATTCATGCGGCTCCTCACTACGAATTCCAAGACAGGGTCATCCTCCCTTACATACAGAGTGACGAGACAAACCCTGCAACTCGAGTCGAAGGTGGCTTCTCGGATGTATGGAAGGTCAAGATCCACACTGCTCACCACAATCTACCCTCCAATCCCGGCCAGGTGAGGTCACCCAGTCAAACAGCGCGCCGTTTTAACATGATTACTCGCAGAGCCAATGCTTCGCCATCAAGAGGCTACGGCGTTCGGACAAGGGCCAGTTCGACAGTGAATCAAAAGCGCTGCGACGCTTCAATCATCCGCATATCATCAAGCTTCTGGCCACATACGAGCAGAACAAGAGATACCACCTGGTATTTCCCTGGGCCGATGGCGACCTGAGAGATCTGTGGGCCTCGTACCCATCCCCACACACCAAGCTCCAAGGTAGCATCCGATGGTTAGCGGGCCAATGCACCGGACTCGCTCACGCACTTCGAACTATTCATCAGCCTTTGTCAGGCGCAGGCGGAATCAGGGGTCGCCATGGAGACCTCAAGCCAGACAATATCCTGTGGTTCGGCAAAGGACAAGGCGGCCTGGGCACACTGGTTATTGCCGACTTTGGGTTGACCAAGTTCCACAGTGATGCTTCCAAGTCCTGTTCCAAGGCAGCAGCGGTGGCCTTCAGTCCTTCGTACCGTCCACCCGAGTGCGACATAGAAAACGGAATGGCCACAGACCGATTTGATATCTGGTCTCTGGGCTGCTTGTTCCTGGAGTTCGTGACCTGGGTCTTTTACGGCTATGATCACGTCGTCTCTACATTTCCCTCCAGACGATATGAAGACGACAACAGCAAATCACAGGAGGACAAGTTCTTCAGAGTTGTGATTGAGCCCCCGGGGAGGCTCACGGTGGTGGTGAAACCTGCAGTAACACAGGTTCTAATCCCACGACCCTTGGCCTTCGTGGGCAAAGGCTGACCGTGCTGCAGTGGGTTGAGTCGCTCAGATCGCACCCTTCTTGCCCTGGATACCTACGAGACGTATTGGATCTTGTCCGATACTCGATGCTGGTCATGGACCCAAAAGGGCGACTTGATGCGGACGGAGTGTATCGCGCGCTCTTTGCAATGGAGCAGAAACACTTTGGACGCTTTCGAAACGAGTGGGTACTGGAAGAGGAACAACCCCATCTTGAGGAAGCCTCCAGTCCACCGCCATCGGCCGGTAAGAGGCCAAGGGGTTTCGGGCGTTTTGGTGATATCGAAACCGATACCGCCCCTGGGCCTGAGGCGGCGCTTCCACCAACGGCGCCAGTGCCAGTGCCAGTCAAGAGACAAAAACAGGCCAAGAACGAGGACATAAGAAACTACAGTTGCCCATACCGCAAGAGGAACCCCCTGAGATTCAACATACGGAGTCACCAAAAATGCGCACTGACAACGTTCCCGGATATATCACAGGTCAAGTAGGTCTCTAGAGTCCCAACGTCAGGTTTCTCTAACACTAATAGGCGCCATATCCTCACGTATCATAGAAATACGAGCACGTCTCAGGCGGAATCCCCGGTCAAGTGTGATCGCTGTTTGGCTGGTTTCCAAACCAAGCAGGAGCTTAATGCCCATCTGAGGGTGCCATCGAGCCGCATCTGTCGACTTGTCGACGCATCGGAGCTCAGGGACGACCCCGAGGACGGGGTATCTTCTGTTGTCGAGAAAATGCTACGTGACAGGAGGGCTGACCACCAAGTCCTGGGGTGGGAAGCGGTGTGGCGAGTGCTATTCCCTGAAGACGCCATCATCCCGTCCGCAGGTATGTATCAGCGACATTCGCAAGACTTGCTTACAGAGAAGACAGAATACAACCCCGTGCTGGAGGATCACGAGGTCTTGAAATACTTCCAAAATACCTCACCACAATGGAGAGCCCTTGCCCGAGACAGGTTGAGAACTGAGGCAAACGGACAGCACACTGAGGAGCTCTGGCGGTTGTTTCAGTCCATGATCTTATGCGGCTTCGATCGGCGCACCCATTTTAACCAGGGGTTGGAAGCAAGCGTTTTACCAGAAAAGACGAGGCTTGCTCTGGGACCAGTGCCGCCCCTCACACCCTCGGTCACCCGACAAGCGTCTCCCGAACGTTCCAGCATACCGACTTTTCTGCCTACCTCACTCCCTCCTAGCCCAGTGGCAACCCCGTACACGAGAAGTAGGCGGCAAACATTGGAACAACAAAACCCGGAACTCGTCTCAGCGCAAATGGAGAGCCTGAACAGTGAGATGCAATCAATCTTCGACCCCGAGTGCGAAATGTGCACATCGGCGACGACGGAGTGTTTTCTTCATGATGCTGCGCTGGCCAAGGGGTTGTGGGGAGAACTGCTAGATATGGGCACATCGACAGAGACGGATATGTATAGTATGTGAGGTAATGATATCGCGAGGGAGAACTGCGAGTAATAGTAGGTGATACTTGGTCCTTGTTTATTTCGGGCCTGCGAATGCTGTCCAGTGGTAGGTAGTCAGGGCAGGTGGGGCGGTTTGCTGCAGTCAGCTCATGGAGCTCAGCCAACAACATCGATCGTTGAATAAGACATTGGAGATGTGTAATCCATCGCTGGACTTGGAAGTAATGCGTGAAATCATCTTTTAAGCCTTTCCACCGCCAAATGGTATAATGACACAAAACGGGAAAAGAAAGCTCTACACCCACTCCCTGGGTTCCCTCAGCACTTGCTCCAACCGTTGCTCCCTGCTTCCCGGTTCTGTTTCATACATGTACCTCCAGCTCGCCGTTAGCGGCATGCTCATGAGGATGCTCTCAACACGCGGCCCGGGCGTGTTGAGGCCGAACGCAGTCCCTCGGTCATGGACCAAGTTGAACTCGACATAGCGGCCCCGACGCACTTGCTGCCACTCCTTCTCCTTCTCCGTGAAGGGCATATCCTTCCTCTTGTCCATAATGGTGGTGTAGGTTGGGATGAAAGACTTGAGCGAATCCTGGATGTAGGAAAACAGGCTCTCCTTGTCCAACACTGTCTGGTCGAGGTCGTCAAAGAAGATACCACCTATCCCGCGGCTTTCCTGTCGGTGCTTGTTGTAGAAGTAGTTGTCGCACCACTTTTTGAACTTGGGGTAAAAGCCCTTGTGGTGTGCATCACACACGTCCTTCAGGGATTTGTGGAACAGGATGGCGTCCTCGTCGAACAGATAGTTGGGTGTCAGGTCGCTGCCGCCACCAAACCACCAGGCGCTCGACGAGCCGTCAGGGTTCGCTGTCTCAAAGTACCGATAGTTCAGGTGCACTGTCGGGGCCATGGGGTTCTTGGGGTGGCAGATGAGACTCAGGCCGGCCGCAAAGAACTCTATGCTCTCCGGGATTTCTTCCGCCTCCCCGGCCAGGCCCTTGTGGTTTGCTCGCATGGCCTTGATGCCAGCCTTGCCTAGTGTTCCATAGACAACGCTGACGCCGACACCGGCCTTCTCAAACACCTTTCCGTCCTGCAGGACGCATGTGATGCCACCGCCGCCTTCTTTGCGCTGCCACTCGTCGACCCGGAACTTGGAGCCGTCAATGGCCTCGAGTCCCTTGACGATTTCCTTTTGCTGCTCCTTTACAAACTTTTCCATGCGCAGGCGCATCGGCGACGTGTTGCTAACGCCATCGGCCCGTTTGCTCAACTCGTCGCGCTCGGCGAGCGTCGGGGCGTCACACATGATAGTCTCGTCAACGGCCTGCAGGACGTGCGGTTAGCAAATCAGTCGAACATGTTTGCGCATTGACCTGAACATGCCATCTTATAAAATAGGGGCGTGGCGACAATGA